AGCTGATGGAGAGTTGAGAATGTGACTCAAGAGATGCTTCCCTCCCAGAGGAAGGCATGCATCGCTTGGCCTGGCCCTGGGCCAGTGGCAATGCTGTCTCCAAAAGCAATTCATGCCAAGGGCCTCCTGACTCCCTACATGTCACCTGGAAGCTTTCAGACCCTCCTTCTCTCCAGCCCCCTCCCCTCTTCAGAAGGCTCCTGTCTCTTGCATCAGATTCTTCCTGGAATACAAATGCAAATCCTAGACCCTCAGAGTGCAGCCCAATCCTCCAGCCTGGCATCAGCTTCATCTCTGAGGGCTGATCCCCTGACAACATACTCTCCTATCCCCTGAGAACTTGACTGAACTTCCTTCAGTCTGGTGTTTACTTGCTTCAGTCTTAGCTGCAATCTGTCCATCAGTGCATCCATCCATTGGTCAGGGAAGGCTTTCCTGAAGGGGTGACGCTTGACAGGAGGACCAGGGGGAAAGGATGAGTTATCTGGGCTACGAAAGGGGCCAGGCTGGGGCGGGAAGAAACTTCCAGGCAGAGAGAAGGGCATGTGCAAAAGACCTGGGGTAGAAGAGAATGAGGCAAGATGGAGTAATTGAAAGAAGTTCCCGGAAGCAGAGCCAGAAACTGAGGGAGGCACAGCATGAGTTGAGGTTGTAAGCCTAGTCTGGGGCTGCACTGAGTGTGAGGGCACTGCACCTGGGTTTAATGCTTGGAAGTTGCCATCTTGGAATTCTTAATACCATTATCTTCACATTTCTGTTTCGTAAGCACAGCCTGGTGGGACAGTGAAGCGTCCATCAAGGGCTGGGAGCCTTGGTTTGTGCGGTCCGGCCTCCCGCCGCCTCCCTGGATTGGACCCCAGCCTTCCCCTCCACTTCTGCCTAGCAACCGCTGCCAGCCTCTGACCCCAGCAGAGACCTGGGTGCAGGCGTGGGGACAATCAGAGCTGAAGGCATGCCCGATAGCATCTGAGGATGGAGGATGGCAGTGCTACCCCAGCCCCAGTCTTGACAACACCACGGCTCATTCAGCTCAGGGGTGAGCCTCTCACTCGCTTCCAAGCCAGGTCCCCCATGTATCCTGGAGTGGAGTCTGCAACACCCTTGAGGAAGCAGGTCTGTGGGAAATGGCAATGCCTGGTGTGACTTCCTCACTCCTGCTGAGGAACACAGGTCAGTCTGGCGGCTGCCAGTTGGTGAGTTTCATGCAGAACGGAGTCGAGTGGCAGGGTGAGTGGGGATTTGTCCTGCAAATATTCCCATGCCTGAGGGACTCTGACATTAGCAAAAACCAAAAAACAAAACAAAAAATAAAACAAAACTCATACCTTTACAGATTGAGAGAAAGAGACCGCAGGAAAAGAAAAAGTTTTACATTTTAGTACCTTTAATAGTAATGTTGTCCCCACTTTTATTTTGCGCTGGCTCTGCAAATTATGTAGCTGGTCCTGGCAGTGAACAGTCAGTGAGATCAAGCATGTGAAATACCTGCAGGAATTCACACTCCCTAAATGGTGCCTAGGATTATTGTTTTTGTTGTTTATGTGGCTCGGGAGCTGAGCCCTGCCCAGTGGCTGGCTGTGGCAATAAATATTATAACAACCGATTTTGCATTTTATTCTCTATCCTTGAATTCTTCAAGCAGATGTGTACAATTATCATGCAAAACAGGCTGGGGCTTTGCCTGGGAGGGGAACACCCCACAGTTGGGCCTGAGGCACAACTGCCCAGACCTCAAGGCAAATTATGTTTCGAAGCAGCTGCAGGTCACTAAAAAGCTGTGATTTTCAGGACCCAATTCCTCTCCCCTGGGGGCTGGGTCTGCTTGCTTTTGGGAGGGCTGGTGAGAGGTAGGAGGCCTGAGCACAGTTCCGTTTTCTGAGGTGTGCTCAGATGTCTCTGTCTTGTTCCTCCACCTCCCTGTCAGCCCCGCCAGTCCACCCCAGTTGCTCCAACCAGGCCTCATCCCTTTCTCAGAGTTATCACAATATCCTCTCCTGTTCTTGCCACTCCCAGCTACTCCCCATGGAGAAAGAACTTTCTAGAATCTGTCAGTCTGTGGGCCCCTCAGGGCAGAGACCAAGTCTACCCTCCCTTGGTACCCCAGAAGTTGGTCCCCAGTCCCAGAAGTTGGTGCCCAGCAGTGCTTGCAGACCTGGGTTGAGGAGAGGGTTGTGGTGGTCATGGTGGTTGACTCCCGGCATCCATGGCTGCCCAGATAAGGAAGTTCCTTCCCACGACTAGAAGATGAGGCACGAGCATGTGACCCATTTATGGCCAATGAAACACAAGGGAGGTGTCCTGGGGGACTGGGCAGAAGGCAGAGTGGAGGGACATTGAAGAAAATGAGACACAAGCAGAGGGTTCCCTTCTTTCTCTGCATGTGGCTGTGTCTGGAGTCATAGACTGGAGCTGCTGCAGCTTCTTTGCCTCCAGCCCAAGGAGGAGAAACACAAAAAAACAACTAGAGCCCTCATATGCCACAGCTGGAGGCTGCACTGCCTCCAGATTCCCTATGTGAGTGATAATCAGCTTCCTCCGCTTCCTCCATGTCAGGCCTTCTGGGTTATGTTCCTTGCAGCCAAAAGCATCCTCAACTGATGCAAATAACATAGTGACAGCACTGGCCTCTCATCCCAGCAGCTCCATCAGCCCTGGCAGCCTCCCTGGGCTCAGTTTTTCCATCTGTTGATTGGGGAGAGAGATTCTGGAGAAAGAACTGGAGAGAGGAAGGATGGAAACCTTTGAAAATAGAGAGCTGTTGGTAAAAGATAACTATGGAAGTTTAGAGCATGTGCTTTGGCATTAGACAGATCTGGACCAAAGCCCAGCCCTCCGCTTACTGGCTGTGAGACCTTGGCTGAGTTGCACACACTCTTTTTTATTTTTTTGAGTCTGGGTCTCACTCTATCACCCAGGCTGGAGTGCAGTGGCATGCTCACGGCCATCACAACCTCGACCTGCTGGGCTCAGGTGATCCTTCCACCTCAGCTTTCTACCGAGTAACTGGAACTGCAGGTGAGTGCCGCCATGTCCAGCTAATATTTTGATTTATTGTAGAGATGAGGTCTCACCAAGTTGCCCAGGCTGGTCTGGAACCCTTGAGCTCAGGCAATCCTCTCGCCTGGGCCTCCCAAAGAGCTGGGATTACAGGCGTGAGCCATCATACCTAGCACATACACTCTTTAATCACTAGTGTGCTCATCTGTAAAGTGGGGGAAATGGTAGTATGTGTGAGGGGTCCGTGTACAAAGTTTCACATTGTATGCAACTCTCAGTGAGTGCTCCAAAGCCAAACTGGCTGTCTGGTCACCCAGTCTTGTTAGCTGCGAAGGTCAGGGTGACGGGGAGGGGAGGAGGAAGACCTCTCTTGCAGAGAACTCTCCAGATGTTCCTCCCATTACTTCCTTCCTCAATTGCTCCAACCCACAACCAGCTTGGCCTTCCGTCCCAGGCTGCCTTGGCTGGATCAGCGCAATCGGTAAAGGAAGGCCTCATGCGTAGAAGCCTTGAGGTTGACCTTGAGGGATGGGAGGAGGCTCAGTCCAGGGAAGGGAGATCAAGGAAGGCATGCCAGGAGGGTGACTGGGAACAGGGCAGGTAGGAGCGGGAAGGACGCCTGTGAGGAGAGGAACAGGCCTGGCTGGAACAGACGCTTGTGGGAGGTGATGGGAAGCACACCCTTAGAGGCAAGGTGTGTGGGCGGGCGCCCATAGTGAAATTTCTGCCAGTATTAACAGAAGGTTTCTAGTTTGCCTCCCGAACTAGAGTCACCATCCCATTTGATAGATGGAGAAACTGAGCTCCAGGAGGCAGAGCCGGCATTATTAGAGGTGGTGATACCCTTGGGATGAGGGGTGCAGCTCCAGCATGTGGCCTTCGGGATTCAAGGTGCTTTGACACCATTCACTGTTAAAGACTAAAGTCCAAGGATTGCAGAGGTAAGGGCTCCTGGGGAAGTCCTGCTGCTCTGCAGTTCTTCCCGATGTGTTTCCTCCTGGATGACTAGGTAGAAGCCTGGCTGTGCCCGCCCTCTCATGCTCCCAGCATGCCTCACAGACGCTCAGGAGCTCAGCCCCTTCATCTGCAGCCACTAGTCTATCTAATGCCCCCTAGACAGTTGCAAGGCACACATCAGTGAGGGCGATGATTTGTGGATGGTCCCTGACTCAGTCCTGTTGGCCAGCCGACCCTGGGCTCAAGGTGCCCTCTATACCCCCTACTCAACCCCTGCAGTGGGCAGGCCTCAGCTTCTCAAGGCTGTGTCTGGGGCTCTAGCCTAGGGCCCCTCCCAAGGTGGTGCCAGACAGTGACTTCTGCCCTGCCAAACTGGAAATTCCAGAAATGATCTTGACACTGACTCCTTTCCAAAGACTGGGGGTGGCAGAGTGGGGAAATTGAGGCTCAAAGAGTTGGAGGGCCTATTAGGATTCCTCAGCCACTGAAGAGTAGGGCCCAAATTAAACACAAACTGGGGCCTCACTCCCACCTCTGTGCTGTTATAATACTGTCTCTTTCTCCGTCCAATCACATTCATTCAGCCTGAAGTCTCCATCTTGGTGGTAGAGGGGTTCTCTCTTACCTAGTTACACGCTCACTTCACCTCTGTGAGCCCAGAGATCCCCAGAGCACAGCTGTGCTGGCCCCAGACCACGAGCTCCTAGTGGGCAGGACCGGGCCCAGGCACCGAACAGCCTGGGTCTGGTGAATGATGGATGTCCCGGGCTTAGGCAAGCCCTCCGGAATGGCCTGCTGGTGAGGAATGGAGAGTCTGGCATCCCTGGGCCTGGCCTGGAGAGGGGCTGGGCCTGGTGGGCAACAGCATCTGGGTTCCTGGGTCCCTCCTTGCCCCCACCATCAGTGGGTCTCAAGCTCCCTACATTTATGGCCTCTGAGAATAAACTGAGACGGGCATCAGGAGGTGGCAAACGGCAAGCAGAGACAGGCAACAGGATGGCAGGTGGCAGGCGGGGCTGCACAGGGGGCACCATAGCTCCACTTCCTGTGGGCGAGGGCCCTAGGCCTGCCCCGGGGGAGGTTGCACAAACCTTCCTGCACAGGCCTCAGGCTGTCTGCCCGCCTGGCCCCGTGCTCCAGCCCGCCTCTCCCACTGGCCGCTGCCTCCTACCCAGGGCTGGCATCCCGGTTCCCTGTCCTGGGTCCCAGACTGTGTCCTCTGTCACTGTGGGGCCGACAGGGGCCGGGCTGGACACCAGGGTCCGCCCTCCCATCACTGAGCACAGCTCTTCCTCATTTCGTTGCTGATTCTAGCCCCAAACAAAACAGGTTGAGCCTTTTCCTCCCCTCGGCAGCTGTCTCTGGCTTGCTGCTGCCTTCTGAGCACTGCAGACGGCGCCGGCCAGGGAGGGGGGCCTGGGCCAGCCCTGCCGAGACTGGGCCGGTGCTCCTGGCGCCTGGCCCTCTGTCAGGCCGGCCCGTGGCAGGAGAGCGAGCTTTGCCACAGCAGACTCCTGAGGATGATGCCCCAGATGCAGTTCAAAGATGCCTTCTGGGTGAGTGAGGATGGCTGGGGGCATTGGACAAGTGTACAGAGGCTGAAATTGCCTGTGGCGGTGGGTGGGGACGTGACATGGTTGATTCTTGGTCTTAATTGTCATGGAGGTGGCCTGTGTCCCTGCCCCTTCTGAGGGGAAGGCAAGGGGATGCCATGGGTAAGGGATCTCCTCTCGGCTCCTGGGGCTGCTTCCTCTTCTGGGATCCCTGTCCCCACAGCTGGAGCTCATCAGGAGAGGATAATGTGTGGGTGGGGGCTTTAGGAGGCCACATGGAACATAGGAGGGTCAAGATTTGGGCATCATACAAACCTGGGTTCAAGTCTTGGCTCTGTTACTTACAGGCTGGGCGAGTCATTTTATGTCTCTGAGCCTGTTTCTCCATCCATATAATGGAGATAAATAAAAACCATCATGCCAACTGAATGGGAGGCTTAAGCAAGGGGATTTAATGCACTAAAGCCCCTGTACCTCAGCGGCTCTCCAAGGGGTAGTTCTCTTCCTCTTCCCCTCACTCGGCCCCTTGGTATGGATCCTTCAAGGAAGCAACTGGGCTGGGCAGTTCCTTACTTGCTTTCTTAAATTCAACCCAGGCGTAAATCATTTCCCCCATGAAATAAAGGCGTCCGGCCAATGGTGGAGGTAAAGTGGCTTGGCCCAGGCCACATGGACCGAGGCCCAGCTTGGACCCTGGATCCCAGCTGTCCTTTACCCATCGTTTCATTCCTCAAACTCTGGCTGTCCCCAGGGCTCCTGGGGAAAAGTTGAGACCTCTTGGTTACAGCTGGGGAATGTGGCTGTCCTGAGGGTGCTGCCTCCAAATCCGCAGAGGGCTCGGCCAGCTCGGCCCCAGCCAACAGCCTGGCCCTCCCCGGGCCCAGTCCTGGGGCCGCAGCCAGGAGGATGAGAGCTTGTGAGCCAGGTCTTCCTAACCTTCCGGGCCAGCTCCGCTTGGGGCCCGTGGCTAACGTGTGAGTGGTTTGCCTTCCCTGCACTGACTATGCAATGGGCTGAGTGGTCTACCTGGGGAGGGCACCCTGTGCCTTTCTGGGCCTCAGTTTCCCCATCTCTACAAAGGGGTTTTGGGACCAGCCCAGAGGCAGTGCTGGCTCAGCCGGTCCAGAGCACCAAGCACCAGGGTGCTCACGGCCCAGGTTGGCAGCTAGAACCCCAGGTGGGGGGAGTCAACACATTGCTGCCCTGTCTTGGAGTGCAGATTTGGGGGAAGAGGGCCTGGAGATCCAGGGCAGGCCAGGAGCCCCTGACTGCTCTACCTCTGTTGCAGCCCAGAGCCCCTGGGCCCACCTTCCCTAGGGCGGAGCTGGAACAAGGAGCAGCCCCACGACTGGATCTGGGCAGGGGCACAGGACATGGTGGCAGCGGCGGAAGCAAGCAACCAGCCCACCTATGGGCGCTTCCTGAGTGGCATCCCGCCCACGGTGTGCTGTGCCTCTGAGTTCCTGTGGGCTTCCTGACCTCCAGGGGCCTGCCTCGCTCTGTGCCTGGCTCCCCACACCTGGGAAGAGCATCCAGCTTCCCCAGAGAAGACCAGAGCAGGAAGGGAAGAGAAGTGGCCAATGAGAGCAGGTCACTGTAGACATCACCTGCCCCAGGGATTCCAGTTCCTCTCTCGATGCTCAGCCCAGCCCAATGCATGACAGCTACCATTTACTGAGCACTAAAGATTTGCCAGGTGCTCTGGACAGGTCAGATTGTATATATATTCACTCACTTAATCCTCACAACAGATGCTATCATTATCCCTGTTATTCAGAGAAGGAAATTGAGGCACAGAGAGCTTAAGGGACTTGCCCAAGGTCACACAGCTGGGATTAAACCCAGTGGTCTGGCACCAATACCTGTGTCACCCAGTGTATTGCAGGATGCCTGTCTCTCCCTGCAAATCCCTGGATCTTTGGACTTCAGGGTGCATATCAGGGAAATGGAGAAAAAAATTCTGTCTTCTTACCTCTCAGTGGGGTAAGAAGGTCAGATGAGGTGGCTAGAACAGTATTTTGAAGCTGAATTTACAGACAAATGTGTAAAACAGAAACGGCACCTACTCTGACCACGGAGGGTGTGTTAGGAACAGCCCAGCCAGCTTGGCCCTTCATCCTGGCTGCCCCTGCCCAGCCCGAGGCACTGATGCTAATCCCTGCAGCCTGGCAGCCCACTGTTGAGGAATGACTGGCCTTTAAACAGTGGAAAGAAACCCCTGACCTAGAAAAATCATGTTGACTATCACAGACCTTCAGTTATCTGGCAACTCCACCCACCCAGAACCAGAGCCAGCCGTGTTTCTGGCATTAGCTCAAGGTAAGCGGGGAAACAAAAGTGGTTTCTGAGACGCCAAAGATGAAGCCCCCAAGGACTTCCATGAAAGCTCATGTACTTTCCCCATAGGAGATGCCCCAGAGCTTTCAGTCAGGGCCTACAAACTCCAAATACCCACACTTTTAACAGGCGTGGTCATGGCATCTTTTAACCTGTGGTGTAACAGTGAGTAGGGGTCTGCACAGGACCTGATCTCCAGATGGCAATGGATAAATATTTGTGGACCTGGCTTGTGAGAGGAAGTATCACAGACAGCTAACAGCCTGACAGTAAGGAAGGAGACAGAACAATTATAAAAAGCAAATGTGATGGCCCAGAAGTAGCAGGGACACTCAGCGTGGGTGCAGACCCAGTCTTGTCCCTGTGCAAGCCTATGTTTGTGATTCTGTCTATGTGGCCACACAGTGTTTATTTATAGCCTGCTTTTAGCTGCGGTGGAGCATTCAGATGCCGGCCACTGTAGGAGTGAGGCCAGGGTGGACAGCCACAGTGGGAGGGAAAGGACAATTTGATTTCTCTGATACACACATGATAAAGAGCATCACCCCTCTGCAGGATGTTTGCGGCTGAGCCTCAGAGCGGGACCTGTCAGTGAGACAAGGTTGAGGCTGAGATCACCAGCAGTCAGAGCTCAGAAGGTCTCAGATCTCATGCAACACTGAGTCAAAGGGACTCAGAAGCCCAGAAAAGAGTGTCGCCTCCACCACCCACCTTGTCAGTGGCTCTGCTCCTAGCGGCAGCCAAACTGTATTGCAAGAAACGTCCATCTGTATCTTCAGTGCAGGGCAGCAGAACACACACTAAGGAGATGCTTATAGAGTAAATGAATGGGCAGTGAATGTCTCCATGGCCACCTCCCTTCCAGAACCCATAGTCTCCTCCATTTCCCTTTAGCTATTGTCTGTACGTATTTCTTTTTCAGGGTTCTCTACTAGGTGGTCCAGGTCGGACCCCTGAGCTCTACCCCCATACCCGATAAGATGAATGAGACTGTCTTGCCCTTGGGGAAGTAACAGTCCAGTGCCGGAGCCGGAGAAATAAATGGGCCAGGTGGAGGGGTATGCTGAGGGGAGTAGTGTCTGAGCTGCGCCATCTCCACCCAGGCACCCCTGCCCCCTGAGACCTATATATGCCACAGCCTTTGCAAAATCTAGTCCTGGACCGGGGTTTTATTGAGATCCATATCCTGGCTCTTTTGGGATAGTTAAAAGGAAAAGTAAGGTCTTGGGGAGGCTGGGCCACATACGCTATGGTGACCCTCACCCACCAGTTGGCTGGGAACCACTAAGGAAGCAAGGGGAGAACAGGCGAGGGCTCTCCTGAATGTGGTCGTGTCTTTCCCTTGAGGCTGGGCTCCAACTTCTTCTGGAAGCCTCTGTGCCAGGCTGGGAGGAGCTGAGCCTCCCAAGTCCATTGAATAGGTGACAGCATCCTGGCTGGGTGGGGGAGTGACTTACCAGATCCACACAGTGGAACCAAGGCTAGCCTGGGCCGCCCCTTCCCTATGTGTCCACTCGGCTGCTGACATCTCTTCCCCTTTCCAGTGCTGAGATGCTGAGCTTCTCCATTTAGGAGGCTACAGAGGAGGGGACTGAGGGACCCCACTTTGGCAGTCTTAATGCCGCCTGGCCTCCGCCCTAGGACCCAGCTACCGTGGCCCCTAGGGTGTTGGGAGAGACTGACATTTGTCAGGCGCCTGTTCTGTGCATTAAAGCTATGAGTATACCTTCAAAGAAACAAAATCAATTAATACGAGAACTTGATGTAAGGAAAGTGGGAAGTTGAAAAAAATAGAGACAAAAGCACCTTTAGTCTCATCCACAACCGTGAATGTCTCGCTGTTTCCGTAAGGTTGTCTTACACAGGGCAGCAGATTGTGTACACAATTTTGTATTCTCTGTCCCTTTTGTTCTAGCACCTCATATTTTGAATGGTGGTAAAATGCATGTAACATAAATGTACTATCTTAACCATTTTTCCGTGTACAGTGCGGCAGTGTCAAGGAAGTTCACACTGTCCTGCAAGCCTCCCCCAATTTTTGGTTTGTTTTTGAGTCACAGTCTCACTCTGTCACCCAGACTGGAGTGCAGTGGCACACTCACAGCCACCGCAGTCTCAACCTGCAGGGCTCAGGCGGTTCTTCCGCCTGTTTTCCAAGTAGCTGAAACTACAGGGGCGCTTCACCACGCTCGGTTCATTTTTTGATTTATTGTAGAGACAAGGTTTTGCCAGGTTGCCCGGGCTGGTCTCCAACCTCTGGGCTCAGGCAATCCTCTCACCTCCGCCTCCCAAAGTGCTGGGATTATAGGCATGAGCCACTGTTCTCAATGCCTCCCTGTTTTTTTAATGTAACTTCATTGTGAACACTTGTGGGTGTGGATATGGGTTCCTTATCTTCAATGACACCATTGTTGAAGGGTGCACAGTTCTCTGGCTAGTGGATGTGGTAGGCATGCTATGACTTATTTGCCCGATCCCCTGTTGTTGGACATTTAGGTTACTGCCAATTATTTATTATTTTGGTCAGTGCTACATTGGGTAGATCTTTGAATATAAAAGTTTTCCACCTAATGATTATTTTCTCTGGTGGATTCCCAGGAGAGAAGGTATTTCTGGGTGAAAGAATGGGGCCAGCTGTGGGCGCTAGCGGCCATGTGGGGATCAGT